ATATCTCTCTCTCTCTCTTCTCTCTCTCTCTCTCTCTCTCTCTCTCTCTCTATCTCTCTCTCTCGCTCCCCTTCTTTCTCTCTCTTTATCTCTCTTTCTCTCTCTCTCTCTCTCTCTCTCTCTCTCTCTATCTCTCTCTCTCGCTCTCTCTTTCTCTCTCTCTATATCTCTCTCTTTCTCTCTCTATATATATCTCTCTCTTTCTCTCTCTCTCTCTCTCTCTCTCTCTCTCTTTCTCTCTCTCTCTCTCTCTCTCTCTCTCTCTCTCTACTCTTTCTTTTCAGGTAATCCTGAAGAATAACATCTACCTCATCTACATCCCGACGGCCCTCAATCGATTCACGGCTTTCTACTATCCCGTTCAACATCAACATGTAGGTTATAGCTATTTTCAGGATACGGTAGCTAGAGCAACTTCTAAAAAACGTCATTTTCATATGGTGATACATTTAGTGGTGGAATTGCAACCGTTTCCGCCTTCTCTTCCTTCTCGTCTGGATCATCTCTACAATCTTTGCCCTCCCGGCCATTCTCGATCCCACTCCCACATTTATACGCAGACCCGACGGACTATTGGATTTCGGAAGTGATAATGCCGTACGTAATTTGGAGCATTTTAGAGTTTCAGGCTTTAAAGGGGACATGACAGCAAAGAACCCTAAAAAAAACCGATTTTTAGTGGCTCCCCCACGGTCTCTCCTTTCTCCTTTCAATCATTGCCGTTTCTGTGACTACCGTACTCTATGCTGCCTGTCTCCACAGATACCGCAATCTCAAATTCAAACGCAGTCGAAATGTAAGTTTTTCTAAAAGCAGAGTAACCCAAAAATCCAATTTTTCAGGTTTTCGAGTGTCAGCTCTTCAAGACGAGCCTGACAGCTTATCCACCATTTTTGATCTACACTGTCAAGTGGGTTTTAAAGGACCATTGAATGCAAAAAGAATTACGATATATGACGAGATACAGGGTGTCCCAAAAAAAAACCCCCCCTACCTAGCGGTCCGCAGTCAAGTCCGATTTTTATGATTTAACTACCCATCGATAGCTCTCGAAAAGGCGAGAAAACAAGCGGGTCTCGTTTTCTAAGATTTAATCTAATTCCATCGATATTTAAGGTTTTTCTAAAAAAACCGGTACTTTTTCAACAGGAATTTCGTAATTAGCATGCAGATCCTGCACAACTTAGCAGTTTTCATGGTTTTTGGACGTAAAATTAGCGAATAAAAATGCATGATAAAGAAAATGAACCCTCCTTGTTTTCTCGCCTTTTCGGGAGCTTTCGATAGATACCTAAATCGTAAAAATCGGAATCGACTGCGGACCGCTAGGTAGGGGGGGTGGTTTTTTTTGGGACACCCTGTATACGATAGAATTATGACATCCAATTACGCTATGTAATTACGTGATCTAATTCTGATATTTTTCGGGCCTTTTTGTCCAAATTACAGTGGGTAGAACCTTTTTAGAGGGCCATTGAAAGCAAAAGACATTACGCTATATAATTACGTCATGCAGATTTTTCTAGGTGTCTGTTGGACGCGATTGCCGGAATAACAGGGGATACCAATCTCGAGTATACAGTACAAAGTACATGGTAAGTTTTCGGAAATATATCTTCTCGATTTCCGCAAAGAATCCCAGCTAGGTCCCCCATTTTCAGGTACTGGCTGCTAGATATCCAAACAATGCTCCCTGTGATCCCTCTCCTGATTTGCTTCTTCTTCATCAACAAAACCTATCGACATCTCCCATTTATGGCCAAAGTTGGACCGATCGAGACGAAGACGGCTAGATCATCTTCTGCATCATCATCTACTGGACATCCACAATCAAAGGAAGCCTCGCCCACCTATACCATCGATTTAACCATGGATACAACGGTGTGTAATAAGGATGGGAATAGTGTGTGAACGAAATGAATAAATAATTGTATATTTTGACGGATGAAAGCTAGAGAAAACGCGAGGGTGAGAGACAAAGAGAAAAAGAGAGAAGACACAAACACAAGAAAGAAACAATTGTTCGTAAAATAGACGCCGAACTCTGTGGCCAAGTGGTTAATGGCGGCGCCTGCCGATCTGACGTCCCGGGTTCGAGTCCCGGCCGCGACAGATTTTTGCTTTTGCTTGAAACTCTCAGAATTGGCTGGCTGGCATCCAGAAGCTGGAATGTAAATTTTGCGTGCCATAAACATTGTTATGTGAATCGTTGTGAGGCATGGCCATCAAAAGATGCGACAAATTTCCAATGGCAATTTATATGGGAGCCCCAGCCATCGTTTTTTTGTTGTATAAAGCGGGGTGATCGGCGATATTCCAGCACGAAATCGCCATGAAATCTTTGGTGCTGGTTGTGCTGGTTGTTCTGATTGGGGTATCGAATGGTTGTATGCCTGTAAGTTGTACGAATTGGTGAAAAAACGCTTGACAATTTTCTCGTTCCGTGGTTGAAAGCGAGAGAAAACGAGAGAGAATACATAAAACATAAAAATAGAACAATTGGCCAAAAAATCGGCGCCGAATTCAATCCGTGGCCTAGTGGTTAACGGCCGCGCCTGCCAATCTGACGACCCGGGATCGAGTCCCGGCCGCGACAAACCTTTTGCTTTTTGCTCGAGACTCTCAGAATGGGTTATCAGCCAACACGAATTGACGGGTGGCGATCACCTGTCCGAAAAACACCTGTCCGAAAAACATCTGTCCGAAAAACAACTGTCCGAAAAATCGCCTGTCCGAAAAACATCTGTCCGCAAAATCACCCGTCCGAAACGTCGCCTGTCCGAAAAATCGCCTGTCCGAAAATCATCCATCCGAAAATCTACTGTCCGAAAAGTCATTTTCGGACCCTGAAATCGAAGTGCGGCTGAAGCTTCCCAAGGCCTTCAGGTAATCTATTCAAACCGGATTTTGGAGAAACTGGGAGGGTAGTTTCCAGGAATACGAACCGCTACTGTATCATAAATTTTTGGAGAGTGACTCAATGAGCTCGGGCAGGCAGTCCCTAAGATACGGCCGATGAAACTTGGTTTGGTCACGATTCCGGGGCTTTCCCCACGTGGGGCTATCTGGTGGCAGTTACACCTCGAACCTTTAGGAACTGGCTAAGTAATTCGAAAAGGGTTTTGATTGGCTGCTTCCGACATTAGTTTTTCGGACTGGTTTTTTCGGACAGGCGACTTTTCGGACATATGATTTTTCGGATAGACGATTTTCGGACAAGTGTTTTTTCGGACACAGGTTTTTTCGGACGGGTGATTTTTCGGACAGATGTTCTTCGGACAGGTGTTTTTCGGACAGATGATTTTCGGACAGGTGTTTGGCAATCCGAATTGACATTTGTAGACCAAGTGCCGCAATGATGACCAATGCGATGCGGGCGAGAAATGTGTGATGTCGAAGCGGGGATTGGTCTCTTCATGGGTTCCACAGGGTGTTTGTCAGAAAAAGCAACAGGTAAATCCACGCTCAAAAGTCCAGTTGTGAAACTAATTAATTCTAACAGACATTTCGAGTTTATATCGATTTTTCAGAAGGTTTCTAACCCATTTTAGCCAACAAAAAATCCGTGGCATGGAAAAGAGTGTAAGGCGGACAGTGAATGCCCGGAACGGTGGATGTGCCATTCGAAATACGGATGCTTGCCGCCACCATGTGATAAGCCCTCAAACAGCAACCACAAATAAAAACATTATCACCATCTGCCACATGCTCAGTACTATTCCTAAGTATATTTTTAAAGTACTCCAGGCCTTGACAATTTTATATTGCCGCGGTTGAAAGCTAGAGAAAACGAGAGAGAACACATTAAACATAAAAATAGAACGATTGGCCAAAAAATCGGCGCCGAAATCCGTGGCCTAGTGATTAGTGGCCGCGCCTGCCAATCTGACGACCCGGGTTCGAGTCCCGGCCGCGATAAACTTTTGCTTTTTGGTCCAAAATATCATTTGGTTAACTAGAAGCCAGAAAGTGACAGAGAGATAGAGAGAAATATGGCAAGAGAAATAGAGAGAAAGATAGTTCTTGGCTAACTAGGTAGACTAGACCCCCCGCTAACAACCAAGTACCGGTTGATAGGCAGACCGACATACAAATCGACTAACTGACAGACAGACTTTTTGGTCTTGCTCTAACCTCTGATGCCCAAAAATCCGTCCAGTACATCACAATACTCGTCACAAATCCCCCAATTGAGCTGGTGTGTTTTGTTAGCCGTGTGTGAAATGGCGCTATTACTCGTGTCATGGTTGTCCTATCTGTCTGTATGTTTGTCTCTCTGTGCATCCAATCAATCTCCCTCTACTCGATCTCGGGATCCCCACATTTCATCGCCATCACCCCTCGTCCTCCTCGCCCTCATCCTCCCCACCCCCAATTTTTCTTTTGCATTTCGTCGATAGGTGCCCTTTGGAATTGGCATCACGAGGGGTTGGATTTTCGCGAACGTTCTGGTTTTTAGCGGTGTTTTTGGTATTTAATGAAAACTTTGGAGGTATTTCGGAGCGAGAATTCGTCATCTGGGCGTAAAATTGCTCACAAAATTTGAAAAAAACATTATAAATTAGGTTTAAAAGCATCTAAATATATTCTGACTGTCAGATAATAGTACTTACCTGCCAGTTAGCCTAGATCTCGACGACATTTTGAGACAATTTGCATTTTCTGACGTTTTCTGATGATTTTGACCATTCCCGACTGATCTCCGTAACAATTGTCATTTTTTTTGGGTAAGAGATCGTTTTTAGAAGTGATCGATCTCCTCGAATAGCCTCCCACAACCTCTAAAAAGATGACGGATGCCCTAAAAGTGTCTATTTTATCCATCAGAGACCACATTTACGATGGGGCGGCCGAGGCCGAGTCCATTTGGGCGCCATTCCCTGATTGTGCTCATCTATATCTACTTATTTCATTGTTCTTTCCTCTAACTGGCAGCCAATTTACCCGAAAAACTTGTTAAAATCGCCTCTCTTTTTTTAGAATCAACGAAACAATCCAACATGGCCACAGCCCACGATCGCAAGGTTCTAAACCGCATTCTCAATCCGTTGATGCCGGATACCGATCCGGAAGAGGAAAAACAACTCGAGGACAGTCAGTTTAAATTTAGAATAATAAATTGGGTAATTTTAGAACCAATAAACCACGCTGGGATCGAGGAAAGTCGAGAATTAGAAAGACAGGCGATCAAAATGGCCGAGACCGGCCGAATCGATGACGCCATGAAATTGTTTGATAGGGCTGTCGAGGTACGGTAATTGACAAAGTAAATGAATATTATAGTTTAAATTTAGGTTTGCCGAATAAATCCATCGGCCTATAATAATCGAGCGCAGGCGCGGAGGATGAATAATGATACGGAAGGTATGAGAAGGAAATCGATGGAAATTGATCTTTTTCGAATGAAAGCAATCGATAATTTGAATGACAGTAAGAGATAATGAGGGCAAACTAGCAGAGATTCTTGTGGAACTTGGCGGCACGCATCGATTAAAGCTAGAAACTAGCTGCACTCGTCATTAATGCGTTCCCCAATGACAGAAATTCATTTTTTTCCTTCGCCAACCGCTTAATCACATACCAGTTCAGAGATATTGAGGGCAAACTAGCATAGATTCTTGCGGAATTCGGAAATACGCACAAATAAAACTCTCAGGCGCCCTCCTCGACCTGGATGAGGCGATCAAATTGAGTGGCGGCCAAGGGAAATCAGCCTGTCAAGCCCTGACACAGAGGGCATTGATCAAGAGGCTCAAGGGGGATGATGACGGAGCACGAGTATGTTCTTTGATAAAAATATTTTCTTAAAAAACGAAAATATTGATTTTTCGACCAAAAATGCCGATTTTCGATAAAAATTTCAAATATTTATAACATTTGTGAAGTTTTTAGATATTTTTCTACATTAAAAGGAGTTAACTTTTACTAAAAAGGCTATTGAATGGCTTTAAGTATAAAATCAAGCGCATTTAAACTATTCAATCCATTTTTAGGCGGACTACGAGCAAGCCTCCTCCCTTGGCTCATCATTCGCTAAAATGCAACTCGTAGCCCTGAATCCCTATGCGGCAATGTGCAATAAGATGTTGGCCGAGGTGATGGGGAATATGAGACAACCCAAGTGTGAATAAATACTTTATCATAGCATTTTACATTAAATAGAGTACTTTTGACAATTTTCTAAATTCTTGCACTTTCAAACGTTTGTAACTTTGTGAAAGCCTTATAATTTGTGCCATAAAACATCCTAAAATTCTCTACTTTTTGAGGACTTCTCACTGGCAGCTTTGAAAGAATCTGAAAATCCCGGAATTCAAAAAAAATATAAGGTTTTACCCTTTTCTTGAGGCCGCGGAAAAACTTTGCACCCGAATAGCTCGGCCGTTTTGTAGTTTGTAGTTTTCCAAGTACCTTCAAAATGTAGAGAAGCTCAAGGGCTACAAAATAAAGTACAAAATGTTTAAAGCTACGCGTTCTATGATTTTTTTACAATTTTTTAAACATCAAAAGAAGCATTTTTAACCAAAATCAATAACTTAATCTTTATTCAGTGGCACAATTTAGGTATTGATGGAATATTAGGTAATGTATCAGCTAGCAGATCCAATCCTCGCCCATCATTTAATTGTACATTTCTTATACAACATTTGAGTGACCGTCTTTCGGGTGTTGTCCACGGGAGGGGCTCCACGTGTCGGGGCCAGCCTGAAATTAGCATAAATTATTTGGTATTCGTCGATAACAAATTTTTAATTTTGTAAAGCGTAGCATCCCAACAAAACATAAACCATGCACAACGAAAAACCCGCAAAAGTTCATATTTTTGAATTTGCAAGAGTTTTCGCAATCGATGACGCCATGAAAATCCTGTTTTTTTAAGGTTTAAAAAGCTCAAATACAACGGCAACCCGTATTTAACGCCCCTTCACGCCCTTTCGCGCCCTCCTGTATTTCGCGCCCCCTGTAAATAACGCCCCCTGTATTTAACGCCCTTCTGTATTTAACGCCCTCGAAATGACCACGAAAAGTGCGTTATTTACAGGAAAAAGCTCGTTTTGCAGGGCGTTATTTACAGGAGAGCGTTAAATACAGGGGGCGCGAAATACAGGGGGCGTTATTTACAGGAAGGCGTGAAGGGGCGCGAAAGGGCGTTAAATACGGGTTGCCAAATACAACCTTAAATAGAAGAAATTAGTTTTTTTCCCGGTTTTTAAGCGATTTCTCAACCGATTACGCCAGGTTAATTGGGGCAACTTTCAGTTTTCGTTAGTTTTTATCGATGTCACACATTTTTCGATGGATTACGTTATGATAGCCTATCTTTAATGCTATGATACTTTTTTATCGATCATAAACTAGGAAGTAGCCGTTCTAAAGTCTTTTTGCCAATCGATTACGCCATGATAATCCCTTCAATTTTGGGGTTTTCACAGATTTTTCGATATTTTCTGATAGATTACGCAATAAAATTTTTGTTGTTGGGTTTTAATTGTTTTTTAGGGGATCAAAAACTATAAATTAACTTTTTCTAAAGTTGACCGATCACTCGTCATTTTGATTGTTATGCCCTCTATAAACACCTGCCCCGTAACTCGTGAATTCCCTCAAGGTAAAGGTCAGCCTTTTACAATGCATTGTTATTTTTCTCACTTCTATCGTAACCCAGACGATTTACGAGCAACAGGTGCTTTTAGAAAATAACAGAGAAGATGTGTGTGATCATTGCTTACCCAAATAAAACAGGCCGTCTGTCGTCATTTTGGCAACTCCATTTAGCTGTATCTTTTCTTCCTTGCCGTCATCAAGACGAACGCATAGTCTGCGGGTTTCACTAAAAAAATGTAGAGCTTGAGTTTGCATTTGAAAACATGTAAAAATGTGGTTTGTAACTTTTCAAAACTTTTAAAATTTACAAACATCGAATATTGTTTTAAATGAATATTGAATACAAACTTTTTAAATAGACTAAAATTAAGCGCTAGAAAAATAGATGGCAATTCAAAGTAAATTTCAAGCCTAAATTCAGTTTTCGAAAATCTGATCGAAAAATTGAAAAAATTACTTTGAAAGACCAGCGGTTTTTTCTAAAAATATAAATACCCCCTTTAATTTTTAAAATGTTTAGAAAAATTCAGTGTATCGCTTAACAAAATTGTAATTTTTGGGCAGTTAAAGCAATTCAAAAAATTTACATATGAAAATATTCGATAAATAAAATAACTCACATTTTGATACTTAATCGATGCCATTTCCCGTCATTCACCATTCCATCTTTCCCTTTCAGCTGATAGGGTTCCATTTTATTCATAGAAATCAGCAACTGTCCCTCCCTGACAAATATTCCCAAATGATCTCCGCTATCTGGCCATGAGCCTGAAATATCGAAGCTTTAATTAAATTAAATTAATTTACCCTGCCACGCGAGCATTCCACTCTGATCCGTTGTCCTCAATTCTAACGAGAAGTTCGCGGGTACTGTTGCTACGGTCTGACTGAAAATTGATTTTTTGCGTACGGTCGGTGTTAATAGGTGTACCTCGTAGTTCTCGTGTTGAGATAGGCCAAATAGGTATGAGGAGAATCGAGAGAAATCGCTTGGGTTGCGGCATCTGAAAAATACCGAGTTTTAGCTACTGCTAGTTCGATTTTCGAAACAATTTTTGCATTTTTGGGCACTGTGCCTTCGAAATACTGTATAAATTAAATTTTTTTCGAATTTTTTAAAGCAGATTTTGTTAACTGAATGCCAGTTAGCCATAATTCGGCTAACTTTCCGGAAAATTTTACGCCATTTTTCAGAAGGTCCTGCAATATTCATTGTTTGCCTGGCTGGGGGCCCATTCCCACAGCGAATTCCCGTCTTCCATTCGCCTCAAAAAACGTGAAAATTCACGCGACTTGCGGCTCCAAATAAATCGTCTCCAAGAAGCCACCCTCAATTTAACCCCCAGAAAAGAAATGGACTTTGCCCCCCGTCCCTTGATTTCGGATTTGGAAATGAAATTGGAATGTTGGACGGATAAAGGGTTTTGGAGGAATGTCCTTTGCTCTCGTCCATCTGATCCACCAGCTTTTAAAGGGCCGTGCAAGGCAGAGATCGAGAATTTGCTCGCCATGGATTCTTTATAGATTTTTCGGATCGTGCCGCGACATGCAACGCGCCGCCTAGGATTATCTTGTGTAATCGATTACGCTCGTTGTAAGGCGGCGAAGCGGGCGCGTTGCGTGTCGCGTGATAGAACCCTCTAGACTGTCCAATACCTTTAAAGGGATGGCGATACGCACAGACGCATACAAATGCGTATCGCGCTGCGTTTTGCGTAGCGCACGTATATCTTTACATTGCGTAATCGATTACGCTCGTTTTTCGCTGCGTAAGCGGCCGGCGTTGCGTGTCGCGTCGCGGAATACTCTATACTGCCTTTCCGCTCTCTTTAAGACTCGGCTTCGACCCATTTCCGGTTCCAAAATAAACCTGGCAAGCTGAAGGAACCCGAAAATCAGCCCTAAATATTCTATCTGAAGCGCGTCGGGCTGTTTCTGAGCTTTTTGGGAGCAGGACAAGGTCGGCTTCTCGGCATTCTCGTGGCTTGAAAAGGTCGGATTTTCTTCTCTTCCTTTCCCTACCTTTCTGGCTATTTATACCAACAGCCGCTCACTTCCGGGTCTCCAATTTCGGACGCTTTACTTTGTTTCTTGCTGTTCGTGCTTTTAGCTGAACTCCTCTTCTAATAAAATTAAAAAACTTTTTTTTCTGGATTCTTTTAGAATGGCAATCAGATATGCTAAAAAAATACAAAGGAACTTTCTGAGAATCAAAAATCACCAGAGCAAACCGTTTTCTGATGTCCATCAAGTTGGTCAGTTAATTCAGCAGACCCTCCACCCGGCCATGCGTCAATGCGAAATTAGGGTAATTTGGAAGGGGGAATTGGAGAATTAGATGGGAAATGGTCTCTCCTTGATTATTCCCTAAAGACTCTCACGTCTCAGGAAAAGACAACTTCATTTGTATTGGACGGACAACTTTTTGAGTTGCGGTTTTTCTGTTTCTCTGTCGCTCTCTCTCCCTCTCTATCTCTCTATGTCTCTCCCACAACTTTCTGGCCGCCAGACAGCCAATTCCGGAAGTTTCGAGCAAAAAGCAAAAAGTTTGTCGCGGCCGGGGGTCGAACCTGGGTGGACAGATTGAGCGACAAGGTCACTAACCACTTGGCCATGGGTTTTGGCGCCGACTTTTTTAACAATTTTGCTCTTTCTTTCTCTCGCTCTCTCTCTCTCTCTCACCTTCACTACATTTCGTTCCGCTCTTCCCCTCCGGACATATGCAGATCATGTCTTCATCTCTCCTCGATACACATCTGCCGTATTCCCCACAATCCAGCTCACCACAATCTGCTTCTTCCATTTTAGACACTCCTGACGACCAGTCGGACGTGTTCTGAAACCATAGAATTTGTAGTTTGTATTTTCAGCCCAAAATCCCGAATTTGATGGCGTAATGGAACCCATAGACCTTTTTGTATTTTCTAGCGGATTTTTAAGCTTAACTGATTGTCAGAAAAGATCATTCAATATCGTAATCGATTAGCTGACTACCAAAGCTAATTTGAATACCTTAAAAAAAGCGTATTTTTAGTGATTCAGCCATTCGACTACCTCCCTCGCACCTTTGTTTCGCTCTCGAGAAACAGACAGACTGGTTAGGTCATCAAATCACATATTCTGGTGCCTCTCCTCGGTTTTTTTCAAGAAACGTGCGCCCCGTCGAAACGAGACCTCCGCCCACCCAAAATCTGAAGAGTCGTGGGAACGAAGTGCCCATTCTTGCGCCTTTCCACTCAAACAACATCACTTTCCGATGGTCACCGCGTGTTTTTAAGAGCTTTTCCCAGCTTGGCGGTTGCCGGAAGGGGGTTAGTTTGAAAATTTGGGGTTTAAAGGTGTCGTCACAGCGATTTTGACTCAAAAATTTGAATTTTTGAGGCAGGTTTCAGAGAAAATTAACTGTGGTAATTTGATTCTGTGGGTTATTGTAGTTTGTAGCCGCTGAAAGGTTAGCTGAAGCACGCCATAAATCAGTTCCACAGAAAGTTTGGCGTTTACGGGTGTGGCGACACTTATTTTGGGCCGAAAACTAGATTTTTACCCGTTTTTTTTTGAACATTCGCTGTAAAAAGCTTTTTTGTCGATTTCTGTAGTTTGTAGCCGCTAAATTGCTAGCTAGCTTGCAAAGAATTGGTTTTGTTAGCTTAATAAATTTTATGCTACTTTTTAGGGGTATTTTTTAGAGCCCGAAATCCAATTTTTAAAATTTTCCAAATTTCCCAACCGCCAGGGCCAGTATTTATAATTTGTAGCTGGCAGGAAATGACCGTGGTTCCAAAAACAATCCTGAAAATTCCCCAAATTCCCCGTCTTTTTCTTGGCGTCATTCCGAATTCTGCCGAAATTCCGTTTCCCTCACATTTCCGGTTCAGTAAATGTTCACCAATTTACCACGATTTCTCCGCGTTTCCGGCTCAATTTTACCCCCAGATTTCCGGATTCATTTTGGGCACCAGATTTTGCAGAAGATGGAAAAGAAAGCGGTGATTTGGGGGATTTTTGTTTGCCCTGGAAATCCGGTAATCTGGATGTCAGTGACCGGCCAAAAAATACGGTACTGGGGAGTAGTATATAAATAGCAGAAGAATTTGGATTTTTCTACTAATTCTCATGCAAATTTAGCCTTATCATTAATAGAAACTAAATAGCCGCCGGGTTTGCGTGGCTAATTGGTAGCGTGTTTGGCTACCAGTCTCAGGGTCCGGGTTCGGTTCCCGGCCGGGGTGAAACTTTTTGTTTTTTGGAGGGAAGGTAGAAGTTCCTGTTTTTAAGCCCGCTAAGTTTTTGGAATTTGTTTAAATTCGATTTTTAGGCAGAAATTCCATTTTAAAGGACTTGAGAAGGCTAAATTTTAGGCAGAATCTATGAAAAACTTGACTTTCCTAGCTTTCGAAGTGGATTCCCCTAATTCGTGACGCAGCCATTATGTGGGCGTATCCGCTTTCGAGGAAAAAGTCGAAAAGGTGGCTTCCTTCCCTTCTTCCTCCCCCTCCCCCTTCATTGGCCCTTTAGTGGAAATACCCCAGCAGCCATCAAGTGGTTCTTTCCTTCCTTTTCTCGTCCCTTCCTTCCCTTCATTTCCTTATTTTGGGTCATCCCCCCTTCCATGGCCAATCCAAACTGCAGGGTGGAAGGGGGCGGTCATCCCACAATTTTGCTGCCCACTCACGAAAAATGGCCTCAATTCTTCGAATTTTTGCTAAAGTGGTGGTCAGCTTAAATTATGGTTTACTTTTCTCGGTGTTATGGCTGCTAATTAATAGAATCTTTGCTTTAGAAAGTTATGAATTAAGCGGATTTCGAAAGATTTGAATTTTTCAAGTTTTTTTTAGCAAAACCCAGGTTTTTTGACGCACCAGTTTCAATTTTAGGAGAGTTTTTAGTTTAACTGCTTGTCATTAAGTGACTTGGCATTCTTCGAGGTCCCGCAGTAACAAGCAACATTCGAAGAAACTCTTAATTTGTCGGCTTTTCGTGAAAATCTAGGTTTTTGAACATTGACAGTGAGTTTTTCGATGTTTGCGTCGAAGCGCCAAGCAGAAAGTTGCAAAGTGTCAATTCCACTCCATTCCACTGCTCTTGACACACCTCATCCCCCGCAATGAGCACTGATCCTTTGGTATAAAATGCAAGGTTTTTGGGCGGATTTTCAGAGATCTAGAAATTGCCTATTCCTAGCGTAACTGGATAAACCTAATGTTATTTTTGCGCATTTCTGAAGGCAGCGTTCCTATTGACGGTCAATAAAACCGGTTTTTAGCGGAATTTTCAGAGATTCAAAGAATCTCAGGTTTTTCTATCGTAAATAGTTAAACACTCGTGATTTGCTATCGTAACTGAATAACCCTAATTTGTTAATTTTGCAATTTTTAACGCAATACTCCTATTGACAGTCAGAAAATGCAAAAAGCTACCATAATTCTTCCTTCCTATCCTTATTGCCCCCAATTCTTCCATTTTCCATCTTTTTCTTGGCCATCCATTTCCCTCTTCCTCCCAATAAAGGTGTGTCTCCAATTCCGGAATTGCATGTCATAGATCTCGTCTACCATCACATCCCGCCACACAACAACAATTTGATCCTCCCCCTCACAAAAAAGTCTGGCTTCGGAATTTCGCGTTCCCCAGAGCATTCGATCTCAATGAATTCCGTGTTTTGATTAGGGCATTAAAATCGAGTTCAGCGCTCAAAATTAGCGTTATTTTGATGGAATTCGTCAAAGTGCACGAGGTTATCGATTACGGTATGAAAACACGTTTTAGGAACCATATGATTTGTATTTTGATCAATCTGACAGTCAGTGCATTTGATTACGGGATAGAAAATAAGTCTAGTTTCTTTTCACCCATTTTTTCGGCCAAAATACCAAACATCACTATTTTTTTGGCTCGAAAATCGGCCAAATAATTCATTGGGAATAATAGAAATGATGTATGGCGAGCAGTTTGCATTCACCAACTGCCACACATTTTTTTATGGCATATGACGGATGGTTTAGAGGCGGATTCTAAAGGAAGGGGAGGCCTATAGAGATAGCTCTCTCTCTCTCTCTCTCTCTCTCTCTCTCTCTCTCGCTCTCTTTATTCTGAATAGAACGCGTTATCCCTCATTGGAATGTGACATACATCTCGAATGGCAACTGAAGGCAGGGCCCAATTCCCATTTCCCATATTCCCCCTCGAGACCCCGGCAGATTCATTTTTCATCCCTTATGACATCCAGTTTGTCCGGAAATGCATTCGAAAACATCCCAATTTATACGTAAAAAATTAGAGCAATTTTAAGGCCTCAAAAAATGGATTTTCTATCTATCCTCTAGTTTTCTCTCTAAAAACGGCTTTCGCTGGTTTCTTTAGTGTCACTGTCCTTTTCAAATAGTCATTTTCATTTTTCTATGTTTAAACTGATTTCCATTAATGCGATTTCCACTATAAAATTCTCTAAAAACCCCTTAAATTCAGAAGTATGCAAACGACGTGGGTGTCCCGATTTCCGCTGCTATTCGTGTTGGCTATTATGTGCCTCGCTACCGTAATCCACACATTTGAAATGGGTGAGTCAGGGTGTATGGCCATAGTACTGCTATGTACTCATCAACTACTACTATTTCTCTGCAATTTGAGAGCTCTGTTTTGATGAGTGTCGATAGGAAAGTGGCGTAGCTTTTCAGGGGGGAAGAAGGTAACTTCACGGCCCATTTAACGGCCATAATTGGATGCAATTGGAGGGGCAGAAGATGAGAAGACACTTTCTACTACTATCTACTAAAATTTAGGCGGAAAAACGTAGTCTGGAAAATTCGGAGAATACAAAGAAAATTCCGTTTTGCTACGTTTTTACGCAATATAAACTTTTGAAAAATAACAAAGATAAATAGAATACGCGCAAAAAAATTAGGATTGTTTTATGCTAAGCGAATTTATATGGATTTTTTAGAAGAGGAGCCAATGGATGGGATGATGTTAGGGGAGATGGCAAAGAGAAACTACCAACATATCTGGAGGAAGATACAGATGAATATGCCACGACATAATGCCGATAATATTGGTGGGTGCAGCGGATGGAGCAACCAAAAAAATCCAATATTTGCGCAACTTAATAAAAAGTTTGTCAATTTTCACGAGAAAATGACCAGAATTTTCTACAAACTTCCAAAAACGATTACGATAGCTAATTACGCTGAAAAAAATCTAGATTTGTATAACCTGGATGACAGTTCAAAATTTGGTAGGCTAAAAATAGGAAAAACTCGGAAAATTACGGTAGTTCCGCAATCGATTACGCCATGAATGTCGGACTACCGTGAATTTAGCTAAAATCCGGTTACGATATCTAATTTCTGTTTAAAATCTTTATTTTTCTGAATTTTTCGCAGCTCGAATTTTAATAAGCAAAAATATAAAACTCATCGAAATTATGGTAATTCAACCGATTACCTCATAAAAATCCCATTAATTACGATTTTTTTTCAGGCAAGCGGAACGCCCCGCGACTATCGCGAGTGCAAGCGAACGCCCTCTATCGTCTCGGCTAAATGTTGCCCCCAATATACCGTAGTCCCTCTCTCTCTCTCTGTGTCTCTCCATTTCCCTGATCTCTCGTCCCCCCAATAATTGCTGGTATGCCTGTGAAAATCGCGGAAAATCGATCGATAATTCTCTCTCTCACCAATCAATCGATAGCTCCATCCAAATCGATCGATAAATATTACTGTTTATGGGTGCAATTTGTAGTCTGACAGGCACATTAAAAGATACTGTATTAAAACATTTCTACAATAGCTATATTGTAGTTTTTTGGTATTTTCTCTAAACTGACAGACAAAAGGATGGGCAGTTTAAAATGGTATTTCTTTATCTGGCATAATTACCATTTCGCATAGCGCTATTTTGCATAACGCTATCTCGCATAATTTATATTCCGCATAACGGTCATCCCGTATAACGGTGATTTCGTATAACGCTTATTTCGCCTAACGAGTATTTCGCATAACGGTCATTTCGCCGAACCGTCATTTTGCATAACGATCATTTCGCATAATTTTCATTTCACCTAATGATGATCTCGTATAACGTTTATTTCGCATAATTTTTAGTCAGTAGCATTCAGAAGCAAAACAAGACGTTTTTGATGACGCAAAGTGCAGTCACGGTATAAGACAACCCAAATGCCTAGCTACCTTTTACCCAGATTCCGCATCTGCAATCAATGTAATGCTTTTGGCCTAGACTTGCGGTCAGATTTGCTAGTTTGCACAGGGATACTATCTACAAGGTTGGATTTTTGGCAAAGCCCTTTTAAAAACGACTTATATCTCTAGGGGCATGAGTTTCGAGCAAGCTTGGGACATTTGCAAGGAAGGGCGCAAAAAACCGCGCAGGTTGATTGTTTTTCATCGATTGCTAATTACTAAAAGAGAGTTATATATAGCATCGGCTGCCAATAGCGGAAGTTATGCGAAATAGCTGTTATGCGAAATGAAAATTATGCGAAATGGTCGTTAGGTGAAATGAAAATTATGCGGGATGATCGTTATGCGAAATGACGGTTAGGCGAAATGACCGTTATGCGAAATCATCGTTAGGCGAAATAAGAGTTATGCGAAATAACCGTTATGCGGAATGCAATTATGCGAAATAGCGTTATGCTAAATGAAAATTATGCGAAATGACTGGAAATCGTTTCAAATATACCGTCTTCAACAATTATAAAAAGGATATGCTAATATTTTTTGCTTTTTAAACCAAACCGTCAGTTAGTTCCGCGGATGCGACTACAAACTACAAAGTATCGTACCTGCGTCAAGAGTATCGGTCGGTTGTTGACGGAAAGGAATTCGATGGCTCCCTGGAAATCGCGGGGAAGTGGGCGGAGCTTGGCGGGGAGTACGGTAACCCCTCGAACACCTCCAATGAACAGGGATGAACCCGAGATGTCAAGGTGGCTGTTTTTCGGCTGGAAATAATTGGTTACGATGTATCAAAAATTATATTAATGACTTAAAAATAAGGATTGACACCCAGTTTAGCCGATTAAGCCCGCAAATTCGTTTTTCGCAGAAAAAGTCCGATTTTTGCTCGGCTACCAATTGTAAAAATATGTAATCAATTACGCTATCGAGAGGTATATTGATCGTTAAGAAACCTTGATCGGATGTCAGAATAACCAACTACGCCATGAAAGAAAGTATTTTTTCGAAAAAATCGGTATTTTTCTCGAATTACTACAAATTGGCTTCCGGAAGCTTTTCCTCCCCAAAAATACCGAATACAATTTCCGGGTCCAGTCTATTGTTAGGTGCATGTTTTGAAGGACCCTATTTTCCGCGTGTTCCACCCTACAACCCGGCCAGAACTCATCTCTTTTGGGGGGGGCAGAGGAAGAGATAATAATGGCGGAGTGACGCGTATCGTCGCGTAGTCCCTAGAGACATCAAATGACATACTCTCTCTCTCTCTCTCTCTCTCTCTCTTCCGCTTATGAAAAGCCCCCAAAAAGTGTTAGGGCCCTCGGGGATCCAAGTTTTTGGAAAAACGGAAAATAAAATTCCTACCTGCCAAAAATTACATTTTTTACTTTACCAGTAATTTATCTGTGCAAAAAGCTACAGAAAACGACAGAAAATACGCATCGACTACCAAAAACCCATTTTAAACTCTAAAATTTGCTTAAAGAGATAGGGGGCGGCATAAGTGAATCGATTACGCGCGGGAAAGAAAATGTCTCTGCGCCTCTCCCCTGGGCGCCCTCTCTCGCCGCCGGTCGCGCTGGGACCTGTTGAACCCCCCCTCCCCAAGGGGGGTTCAACAGATGCCGTCCTCATCTCTTTAAGCAGGGTATGGTTCTTCAAAAATTCTAGAAATTGGTCTATTGGAAGCCAGAAAGCATTACGCAATTAAATATGGGCTGCAAATTACAAAAATCTCCAAAACTACCCACCGGACTGGTCTGTTTATGCCGAAATCCCTCGTCGATTTGGATAAAGCCGTCACGGCCTGTACGCCCAAATACTATGGACGACCATCCATGGGAGGGGATCGAAGGAGCTCTGTAAATAGACAATTTCGATATGAAAAAGTGGAAATTGAGATTTTCGAAGCATCGTTTTGGTACAAAATACGCAATGGCAGTCAGAAAGTGGAAAAAAGTATTTTAAGCCTATCTAAGATGTTACAAATTGCCGAAAAATCGATATTATCGATCAAGATCTGGTACGCACTTGACATAAGCAATCCCTGAGCCGAGATTCCAGAAGAAATGCGGCTGGGAGGCGATCAGGTAGAGGGCCAGGAAATCTCCAGCTGAATTACCGTTCTAAAAATATACATAAAAATGGATCCTACTACGTTTCTATACCTTTAATGCGCCCCAGAAAAACACGAGTCCGTCGGTGGATTTTGGCTGGAGGCGGATTCGAACCTAAAAAATGATTTTTTTAAGTTTGTAGTTGTAAAAATTTTCTGTAAAAGGTATTTTTGTAAACTGACCTCCACCCTATCTCGTACATCCATTTTCACGTCTTCTACCGTAACCCATCCCTTTCCATCGAAGGAAACGGGCCAAAAGGGGTAGTGATCGATCGAGGGGAGGAGGGGAGCAGATTCTGTCGGTAATTCAGCACATCCGGAGATGCAATCGCATAGCTCTAAAGTCAAAGGTATATTTTTGCAAACTGACACCCACGATGCTGGTTTTTGAAATCGGATTTCTCTAGAGGTCTTCCGTTAATTGTTGCAGTCTGGATACAGCCGATAAACGAGCGCCGTTCGGAACTGAAATTATTTTAACCTGTTTTTGTTTTCATAGGGTAAGATTCTGGACTATTTTTAGACAGTTTTAAGCTGGGATACTTATTTTTGTTTGCAAACGACAGACTGCAGACTACAAACTATACAAAACTACAAACAACAAAAACACAAAAAGTCAGCTTAAAAATAAAAAACCGGGTTTAGCGTTATTTTTAGCCAGCTAAATAAAGGCATGAACTACAAACCATCGGCTACAGACTACAAACTATAAACACAAAAAATTACAAATTATTTTCGAGGCTATTTTTAGCGATCTAAAGATACAGAAGACGGGCTATAAACTACACTCAAAACTCCAAGCTACAACCACTCACATGGCCCCTCCAATGGCAATTGCTTGAATGGCCCCCGTCAGTTGTTGATCCTCATCTAGCCGGATCGAAATCGACTCCTGAAAGGACTTTGATGGCGTAATTGTATAAACTGGGAGACAATTAATTGAAAGATCACAAAAATAATCATCAATATTGCAATACAGTACCTGGTTGAAGACCAATTGCACCGTACTCCCCGTTCCGCCTAGCCAGCTGATCTTAGCAGTCACATTTTGATGCAAATCAATCGGGTGCCGGGTTTTCAATAATTCGGCGCCGATTCTAAAAGTAAACGTTATTGTTATCTTATAGTAACAAGCAAAAGGGCTTTAAAAACAGAGTTTCAAAAAAAGTTTCCCTGCATTTTTGAAAAATGCTGTTTTTCAAAAAATAATGAATTTTCTTTTCAAATAAGCTCGTAGCTTTTTATCTGACAATCAGTTCACGATTTCCGCAAAAAAATCTCTGCTTGTTAGCCCTTAATGTCCGCGTTACGACTGCCAATTTGACGTCACAGACCGCAGAATCCCGATAAGCGCCCAGCTTTCAGGGTGTACAAATATTGATCAATTTCCGATTTGTCTCTTCTTCTTATTAATTTTTGATGGCAATTACAAGGTAATTGATTACGATATGTTATAAAATGCCTTATTTTCTGCAATTTAGACAAGATACCCAGAGATCTCATGGATCCTCCTCCAAAAGATCTCTTGTCTCCTATGATTTCGATGAGGATGAGGTTTGTTCTGGGAATAAATTCCAGTTATTACGCTATGTAATTCGATTTTAGCAAGCATAAGTTTAATTTAAATCATAAAAGTTTTAAAAAGACTAACAAACAAAAATCTGCGTCGAATGAAATGTATTTCGTAGTTTTCAAAAAACATCGCAATTTTTAGAGATATTCTGAACTTTTGTTATCCGATTACGCGATGTATATCGATGTTATTAATACCGCATACCATTAATTTAACTAATAATAACGTTAAAATTATTCCAAAATTTCCACAAGATACTTTTGAAGGTTTTTTGAAAGCAGTTAACGTTTTTCAAAGGCATAGTAGAAACTATAGATCCTTGAAACCATATAAATAATCCGAAAAGTGTTTAAAAACAATCGATCTTTATTTTTAAAGATTTATCAATCGAGATTTTGGTTTTAGGAAATCGGCCGTCCAATAAATTGTTCATGGCTGCCATGTTGTATGGATGATGAGCAAGCCGAGTCTTTTGGCGAGTTTTATCGATTTTTATCGAAGTTTATGAAATTCCTAGACATCCTTTAATTCCCCGATTTTTGCAGGCCACCACGTCTCAGTGTTTATGGTAGCCCTCGTCGCTTTTGCCACCTTTTTCTGCGTGACGCTCATTTTGATTCTTGTCTTTATGCTTGGATAAACTTTGAAAATTGCTGTAGATTTTTCTAAAAACAGTAAAACCATGATTTTTCGATTTTTTAGCTTAGCTGGCAGTTAATTTATTCAATTTTGCATTTTAAAAAGGTCTAAAAATGCATATAAAAGTCTTACTGTAACAACAGCCTCCTCTGATCAACTCTCAACTGCATTCGCTTCCCAACAACCATCAACACATCAATTAGCGCACCGTTCGAAGCAGCGGCGGAAAACTAGAGCGATATTTCTCTAAGCTGACCTCCAGACTACAATATACCTGTAGTGTTACATTCAATACACCGGAATATCGATCGATGTTTGCCACATTTGCCGTTTGGCGGCCGTCAAAGCGGAGATTTAGTGATGGAAGGGCTAAAAAGGTATTTTAACGTATAAGTTACAATCTACAGACCACGAAATGTGATAAAGACTACAAATATTCTAATACAGGCTACAGGCTACAAATGACGGTTTAAAACGCATACTACAAAATTAAAAAATACAGACACGAGACTACAAATGACACGCCAAACTACAAACTACAGACTAGTGATTGAACTACAGACTACAAACTACAGAAAAACCGTTTAAAACGAACTCAATAGAAGACTACAAACTACAGATTGGGGCACAGACTAAAAGCTACATACCAATCGCCTCCTCCCCACAGCTCTTCCCATCCCATCGGCTATTTCCAGCACATTGACACCGTCCGGCTTTTCCTCTTTGCAAATGGCATATAGCCGAGAGATGAGCACATTCACTCTAAATATATCATATCGCGTAAGTGGATGTCAGTTCAGATTTTGAGACGCTAAAAATTCAGAAAATCTCTTACCTGATAGCTACACGTCGATCCGATTGTCCGATTCTGCGGATTTTGGGCCAATAGGGTCTTCTGGCGATGTGAACGGTCGAGGGGAGGGGAGTTTAGGATTTCTAGGTTTTAATAGAGGCGGTATAAACATTACGCTAAGCAAAAAAATGGCGCAATCGATTACGCGATGAAATGGCCGGAGGAAATGGTTTTTTCGCTGGTTTTTTTTTCGAAAAACTATCTCACCATTATGATTTATGAGCGAATTTCCAGGGTTTAATCGATTACGCCATGTTTGAGAAACGTAATAGCGTGGGTATAACTGATTACGCAATGAAATGAGAGTAACAATGAATTTCTCAAGACTTAATTTAGTTTCTTTTTCGTTATTTTTGTAAGATTTTCTGCTCTAAGCCAATTTTGGTGCTTAATCGATTACGCCATGTTTTTCTAAACTTTTAATGTTCAAATATACCTTGCGGACATATGCCCAATCCTACGGCAACCAGATCAATCTGATGTTTACAGGCGAATAGCCTCAATTCACATGGACCATCATAACTCTGGCCATCAGATCCACAAACTGTCATATTTGAGGCGATACCTTAATTGAAAAGTATGAAATAGAAATAAAAAACGTTGAATACCGTATGCCGATACATCACATTTCATATCACACGCACAACTCGGCAATTCCCCGGGGGAATCGAGACATTTCGCCCCGTGCAGGCAACGTTGCTCTTTGCAATTTCTGAAAAGGATATAATTGTTGATTTTTACAAGGTTATAAATAGATTTAATCGCTTACGCAATGTAGAATAAGGCTGATTACGCGAGAAAAACGTTTTTTTTAGTAGCTCTATGAGCTTTTCGAGGCCGAAAAGCGCTGAAATTACGAAATTGTAGGAAGTTTTGGCTGTATAAAATTTACTACTTATCGTATCAAGCTGTAAAAGCGATCAATTTATGCGCTTTTTCCTGGGCTACAAAATACAAATTTTTATAGATTGGAAAAGTTGATCCGGCCGAGAAAATGGGCAAGAACGAGCCGGATCTGACGAAAAACTCATGAATTCCCACCTGGGCGCATGAAAATGATGGGGTGTCACGCATCCTTGTTGGGTGAGGATGAGCCCTTCTTGACATCGATCACATTTATCTCCTTCAGCCCCGGGTAGACATTCACACCTCCCGGTACTCTGCTCACAATCACCACGAGAACCACCGAATGAGGAGCAACCACATGCTGAAAAGGCAGACAATGGATTGTATTAGCTCCAGATAGAGTAACAATGTTTTTATAAGAATATCCATCGTCAAACTGGGCTACAAACTACAGAAAATTACCTGAAATAGCGTTTTTAGCACGAAAAGCACGCATCTAGCGTTTTCAGAAGTTTTTCTAAGTATATAAGGTATTTCAAAGGTTCCGCTAGTCAAACTGGACTACAAACTAACGCCAAATAGACTACGAATTGTTTTTTAGCGGTAAAATTTCTGCTATAGGTTTTTTTTCTTACGTTCAGCTAGGTAAGCCGGGTATTTTCAATTTTTCTGTAGCCAGTATGGCCTACAAACTATAAAAAATAGACTGGAAACCCGATTTTAAACATCTCTAACAATTTATAGAGCCAAAAAGTCACTTACGAGTACAGGACAAGGCGCCCTTTGCGATCAGATGGATCCCCCAGAATCCCGGGACACAATGGTCACATTTTGAGCCGCCAACACCCGGACGACATCTAGAAACCGATCGATTGATTTATATCAATGAAATGTATTTAAAACTTGCATTAAATTTCATACCTGCACTGGCCGGTGGAATCACAATTCGGCCCGTAACTCCCGACGCGATTACACGAGCAACCGTCTAAAAATGATATATAGATTCATCGATAGATTTCGTATATTTCTAAGGTATCAAAATTTGCTTACCGGTATCACTATTCCCATTGGCATGACATTGTGCCATTTCCACCCTCATAATGGGGGTTCCCCGCTGGCAACTGGCCAGCTGGAGATGACAGATTGTCGGGTAGAGAGTTCCGTCTTCACCACAAACTCTGAATATCCACTTTTTAGTGTAATTGGAGAGATATTCTATTAACTGGCATGCAGTTTACTTAAATTCATGTTTAAACAATCAGTTGGTGCTCAGTATATCGAATTATGACATGAAAATACGAATTGGCAGCCAGCCTATCGAATTACGTCACGAAAAATGTGAATCAGAAGCCAATTAAATTAGTTTGCAACTCTAGACACAAAATGACACCCAATTTAGCCATTTTTGACGTCAAACTACAAATTGATACCCAATCTAGCTATTTTTAACACCAAACTACAGATTGGTACCCAGTTTATCCAGTTACGACGTGAAAATACCTACCTGGAGCTGTCGGGAGCAGATACCGGGCAGTGATAATTACAAGTGCATACACCACCTCTGCATTCCTGCCCATAGCCACATTCCACGTTTTGGCAAGCGTCTAAACCGATCGATAATCAGAATTAAAATCAATAAAGCGTTATCGTACCGCATTTCCCAGCAAAGGCCACCACGACAAATTTTCTCCGCTGGCAGGCACTTCTTCTCAAATGACATTCCGAGGAATAGGTGACGCCATCTGTACCGCATACTGGGCCTTCCTGCAAAAATATAGCTTAAAAATAGGATCATGATTACAATCTAATAGAATTTATATGTTGTAATTAGCGAAACTGTTCTGTGGATAATCGATTACGCAACGGAATGAACATAAAAAGTTATTGTTTTATAGAATTTTTTGAAGGGAATAGACTTTTCAATAGATAAAATTATTCCACTGTTCTGCGTCTAACCGCTTATGCTATGTAATAAACCATTAATATTGGCTTTTGGGATTTTTGAAGGAGCATATCGACATTTTCGCGACAGGTTTTGTCAAACTGCTATGCGTAAAATCGATTACGCTATGTAAAGCGCACGAAAATACCGTATTTTTAAATTTTAAGGTTGCAATAATAGTTTTTACTCGAAAATTGACCAAATTGTCGAGGGTATAAGCGATTACGCCATGTAATTCTACTCTACCTTTCCATTGCTGTTCCCTTGTTGTTGTTGTTGATGATTGCCGACCGGACATTCAATAGGACATTGACATGTCCCTGTACCCTTTCCATCAGACACACAAATCGAATAGAATTCACATTTGTCGCGCAGTTTCTCGCAACCCTCTAAAATACTGCATTCCATTACGACACCTATATCCATACCACAGATTCCGTTATATTTCACAAACAGAGATTGCCCTGTTTTGCATGAAGTCTGTCTCAATCGGCACTCATTCGCGTACGTTTGAGCGTCACTTCCGCATACCTGTAACCGGTTGTGGTTTGTAGTTTTGTCGAAAATCAAGTTTTCGACCTATTTTTGGTGGTGAAAACGTCTCCTGCATGCAAGTGTATCCTAAGATACCCTTAAAAGCGAAGCGTTTCTTGGCCGTACAAAGTAAAAAAAAATAGAAAACTGCATAACCTCGAAATTGCTGTTTTTGCGTAAAAAAAGGCGTTTTATTTATTTTTTTTGCGGAGAAAATGTCGACAGTATGTCAGCCTACTTTTCCATACGTATAACGCCCGTAAAAATATCGATTTTTTCGATTTTTGACTGCATAAACGAAACGATCAAATGAAGAACTGCAGAACCCAAATCTTGCTTGTCCCGTTAAAAATAAACCCATCGCTGTCAAATATGGTAGTTCGTATGTCAGTCATTGAAAACTACTGTAAAAACCTCTACTATGAATCCGACTATTAAGTTTAAGGTTTAACCCATCAAAACCCGTAAAGAACGGACCTCCTTGAGCTCGTCGCCACATTCCGGGCAGACACAGCGCGGTTTGTCGCCTTTTGGCACGCAGACTTGAGGGGCACGACAACCAGTAAATGTGGAACACACGCCAACACCTAGAAAGAGTACGGTATTTGGGCACGATATAGAATCCCTACCACAACTTCCGGTATGCCGGACAGCCAGCCTCTTCGTCGCTTCACACCCCGCTTTTCGCATCTCGCACTCATTGCTGTAGGTTTTGCCGTCCTGAAAAACCGTGTATTGGTTTTTAAAGGACGGTTGAAGACAAAAAACTTGCAGAAATTTAGATTTTTCTCAAATCATTTCCGCTAGCCGGCCCTAACAATATTTTCAAATTTTCTTTGTCTTAATTGGCATGCTGCTAGTCAGTTTATCGTTTAAAAATAAGAAAGCTACCTTTTAAGAACGAAATAACCTACCGTAGCACAGACAGGCTTGACAATCTGCGGACACTCCCCATCACATTCACATTTTGCCGTGCTTTGAGGGGATATTTGGCATCGGGTACCCGGTGGACACATTAATGAAGAACACGGATTTCCCACGTCTAAAAATAAAAATCGATATTTCGCTTTTAAAGGGATTGAGAAGGCAGGGCGATGGATTTTTGGCTCTCGATTTCCACGGTTTTTTTTGCGCGCGGTCCAGTTAACGGGGTATAATTGATTACACAATCGAAATCTCGAGCGTGCGTTGCGTGTTGCAGAGCGGAAAGATCCCTATTCTTGTCCCAGTCCCTTTAAAGGGATCGTGCCAGTTAGAAGGTACGCGCGAATTTCGGGCTTCACTGGCGAGTTACGGTAAAATAGATTTTTTGTGTGTAATTTGTCACCTTTACAGTTGCCCTCTTTCCATACAGTAATCTGTCGATCTTCTCTACAAGCAGCCACTTTCATCACACAATCATTCTCATATGTCTGTCCATCACTACCACACACCGGAGAACGATGCAGGGGACATTGCTGCGAACATCTGAAGATAGATAGATCGAGGTACAAATTCAGGATTTGAGGTAATTTTCTGGTTGTCTAGGTGTCAGTTTGTCTGTATGTCTGTTAAAATGCCTCTTATTTGTCTGTCTGTCTGTCAATCTATCCATTACCTGCATTCGGGTCTCCGATGCTGTCCAATTTTACACGTCGTCCCCACCGCACAAACGTGGCCGTCGCATGGATCTGGAGAAAAAGAAGATGGATTTCTCTCTCTCTCTCTCTCTCCCCTCTTCCAAAAAAACTCTCACCGCATTTCCCATAATATTTCAGTGTTATGTTGAGTTTTGTCTCGCAGGCATCCTGCTTTAGGTGGCAGAGGGGACTAAAAGCGTTATATAATTTTTATATAACTTTTTAGTGTCATTGAATATTATGCTGGCTTCCAGTGTATCTATTTAAATTCAGAAAACGAAATAAAAATAGGTTTTTAAAAGAATTATACCTTGTAATCCTTGCCGTGAATCGAGCAAACTGGAGAACTTTGGACGGAATCCCCGTAATTAGGGCAATGAGTGGGGCAGATACAATGGCCCGAGAGGATACCGTTTTTCTAAGAAATGTCATTAAATTTTATACAGAAAAATATGTTACCTGTTCGACGATACAATCCTCCCCGGGGCCACATCTCAAATCATCGCACGGGTTTTTCTTTTCTGCAATCGATAAAATAGTAAGATATCTTGAAAATCGGTAATCTCTATTCGATTACGCTATGAAATTCGGCTATTCGGATCGATTACGCTGCATAATGCGGTGTGTTTTTAAAGATAGATTACGATAGGAAAAATTATGGACTAAAAACGGCTACGGTTTACTTTACCCCCCAGCCGGAAGTTTTTGGCTATAACTTTTTTATTTTACATTATTGTAGGCTCAAATTAAAACTCTTAGTATATTTTTCGACGCTCTATCGAATGGCGTTGCAAAAATCCCGACAAAATCAGCGAAAATACCGAAAGCTTTCAGACCCTTCGGCTGTGGGGGGGGGAAGTAAACTCTTACCCTAAAAACCCCAGGCCTGGGAATTTTGCGGGCCGGGCCGGCCCGGCCCGGCCCGCCAGCCCGATTTCGCCGGCCCGGCCCGGCCCGGCCCGAAGGCGATTTTTCTCGGCCCGACTTTAAGGGTCAAATACGGGGGTGGCCAAAAAACTCCCACGTCAAGCTGGTTTAGCAGGCGTAAATAACAACCATTGCAAGGTATTTTGCTGTTAATACGGTATTAGTGGACCATTTTTGCAGCACTTCTGTTAATAAAATTTAAATTTCAAAGTTATAACAATTTTTAAGAGCTAAATATCGACCGATATCAGGGTAATAATGTTCAATTAAGCCATTTCGAGTTTAAATTCGCCTTATTAATATATATTTTGGGTCTTAGTTTATAACTACGATACATACTGATACATCTAAGAAAAAATCCGGTCGCGCTGACATAAAAATTCAAAAAGCAAAAAAAGACGCCGGGCGGGGTCGAACCTGGACCGATTTCCTGGTAGGGACTTAGTCAAGAAAAGGACCAAATTTTTATTGAGGTTGTATAATAACGCCAAAACGACTATTCGTGAGCGAAAATATGCAAAATAAGTCTCAATTTCCCCCCAAAAAAGGTATTTTTAGACTATGTAAAAACCCCCGGGCCGGCCCGGCCCGGCATTTTTCAATTTCTCGGCCCGGCCCGGCCCGGCCCGAAAACCCCTGAAAATTGCCGAAAAATTGAACAAGCTACATCCGATTACGCCGTGAAATCCTCGAAAAGCTTGAAATCGATTATGCTATGAAAATCCATTTTTTACTGTTTGCCGATAAAGTAAAACATCACAAAAACTATAAAAATCACCATTAGAATATTTGAAACATCCATCCGTTGATGGAATTAGCAGAAAGACTACGATATACACCTCCTTACACCCCATCCGAATAGCGGAATGGATCGGAATTTAGAAGTGGCCGAAGAGGAGGAGGAGGAGTAGGAGGTTGAGAGTCAACCCATTCCCTTCTCTCAACTTCACAACTCAATCATGGCACCCGGGGGAATAGAGGAAGGGCAGAAGAGGGGGGAGGGATTCCATTCCATTACACTTACAACCCATATCTACTCCAAAATCGCGCAAGTGAGCATGGATTTCGGGAAACTGGCAGGTAGACAAGGTTCAGGATTAATTTGAAGCCATTCTGAGGGTTGGAAGTGGTTATGCAGGTTATGCAGGTTTTTGGAAAAAAATCACCCGGTTCTGACTTTGCAGGCCTAGTTTTTTGGGGCTGTCATTTCCGCACCAGTTAAAGTTTCCAAATGCTAAACTACCGCCTAAACTGTAGTTTAGAGCATTTCGTAGTCCATTTCGAGCAAAATTTTGTGTTTTTGGGACCCAAAGGGTTTCTCAGGTTATGCAGTGTTCTGGAAAATCTCTTATTTTTGCCCAAAACACAGTCTTTTTCGGCCAGTTAAAATAGTAGTCAATTGGACTGGATTGTAGTTTGTAGTTTTACGCATTTTGTAGGCCATTTTGAGCACAATTTGCATTTTAGTGAGCTTATCGGATGTTCGAGGTTATGCAGTTTTTCGAAAAACCTCTTTTTTTTCTTGAAGGTGTCAAAAAAACCAGCAGTTAAGGTGTCGAAAAGTTAAATTGGCTTGTACTCCGTGTTTTCGACCAGTTCTACTCCGTAATACACCCCCTTACCCTCTCTGTCTATGCAATATAGCACCCGGCTGCCCCTTCAAGAGTTCCCTCTCCCTCACCCTATTTGTGTTCCTCTAGGTGTGAATCAGTGTGCCCCTCCATAAATGACTTGTCTGTCTGCCAGTCAGTCAGGAAGTCTGTCTGTCCACATCTTCATCCGATCCCTCCCTTCAGAAGGGCATCTTCTGCCTCTATTTGTTTGCCCTGTGGGGGGCCTGGTTTCGGTCACTGCTCATCCCTTCCCCTCTGCCTATATTCCGCCCCACAACTAAACAACGACTACCGCAAACTGGTAGCTGGGTGGAAGAAACAATAAAATGACAGTCAGAATATCGATGGGTAGACTAAAAAATTAGGTAATCGACTGTTAGCGGGGGGGGGGGAGAAGGTTTGGGGGTGAAAATCGACTTTTCCCTTAAAATGAAAACAAATTTTTCTAATATAAATAGCGAAAGTGTGGATAAACGGTTGTTTATTATTCCTACGCGTAAAAAATTTTACAAATCTTACAAAATAAAATACAAAATTACAAAAATGTCGACTTTGCGACTGAAAATGACCGATTTTCGCCCAAAATTTCAATTTTTTAACGATTTTTTTTTGGCAAACTTTTTGCCTTCAAATACAGTTAAATTGTGCTAAAAGTACTATTATATGGTTACTATTGGGTTTCTAGGCATTACTGGATTTATAAAGAAGAATTCCGGTCTAAAAATTCGGAGAAAACCACCCACCACAAGCTCCAACTTTTGCCACTCGCAGCACCAAGCCCTTTTTGGTCAGAAGACACGCTCGGACCTGTAAAAAACGGTTTATTGACGTTCTGATTGTACTTTGTAGTCTAGCACAGTGTGTACTTTGTAGTCTCTAGCCTGTAGTCTAGCTAAAACCCACTCCCAAATGACAATATGATGCATAGGTAACGTCATCACTCCCACACACCACCCTCGGTTTCCGCTCGACACACCGTGTACGGCACTCGCATTCGCCACTGAAACATAAAATCAGGTTTATACATTTATACGATTTTAAAGGTGGCGGAACAATTCGGCCGTTCTTGGCATTTCACCCCAAAATTGTGGTTATATACCTTAAAATGCATTAAAACTCTAAACTGCCATCCAGATAAGCTAAAACAAATATATCGGTGGGTCCCGCGTTGGTCTTCAATTTTTCACTCCCAAAAAAGGCTATATTGGTTGGCAGATAGGCAGCTGGACAATATCCTAGCGATTCAGATAGCCATCCAGCTGTTCTCATGTACCCTCAAATATTTGCTATTAGCATGTTGCTACCTCTCTGCTCTCTCACTCTCACTCTCTCACTCTCTCTCACTCTCTCTCCCCCCTATATTGTAAGTATCTCTTCCCCTGTTCTCAATATTGACCATTTTGAGTTGTATGCTCTGGGGGCATGTTCCATCCTCTTCTCTCCCCTATTTGCCATAAGGATTATAATATCTGTCCGTTCCCTTCTATCTAGCCGATCACTGAAAGACTACACAAACTTCTCCATGGCTTCTGATTTGCCGGAATTGATTGGAATGTTGCCAAAACATGATTGTTGAGCAGAAAACTGCGGATTTTTTATTGTGATGTATTGACTGGCAGTCAGTAAGCTGATCTACGCCATCCGATACAATTTTAAGGAACGCTGAAGCCAAAAATTGATTATAAACCCACGTAGCCGGCGTACACTTCGATCCAAACGGACAGCTCTTCTGCTCACAGAGCACTAAAAATCAACTAAAAAATGGAGGAAAGTGCTTACGTGGCTTCTGCTGCCTTCGACGTCGAATTTCACGGCCTGAAAAATTGTAAATTATTTTGGCTATCTGGACTACAAACTGCAAAATCACCCGTTTTGGGCCGTATTCTATAGTTTGTCGTCATTTCTTGAAGTGTCGATGTTTTTGTAGTTTAGTTTTTTGTTTGTAGTTTTGCTGATTGCTATTCATTTTTTTCCAAAAAAGCCATAATTGTCTATAGATTTTGACTTTAGAGGCCCTTTAAACGCTGCCCATTTGTTAGGGCCATATTGTGCGCGCAGCAGGCTGGCTACTGCTAAACATTCTGGCCAAGCATAGAGAGAGGGTAGCTAATTACAGGAGAGTAGTGTACGGGGGAATACAATGGACAGACAAGGGAGAGGCAGGTGAGGGAAGGGCCATTCTAAGGACCCACCAAATATGGGCAGACACCAGAACGGGAGGGTGTAATTGGACTATTAGCTCTTAACAATACACACCAATATTTCAGAAGAGCCAATTGCCAGCCAGAAGGCGTAACAAATTATAAAAAGAAGTAATTCTATACGCTAAAAAATTTAAAAATGACAAAAAGACTAAAAAATTGATTCCAGCGTGTTTTTAAAAATTTTGCGATTATGCTATCATAATGCATTATTTGTTTTTGGCCAGCCTTCAATGTTTCTTTAAAAAATTTAACCAGGATCTATGCAAGTCAAATAAAAAGCAAGGCCATTCAGGTCAACCGGATATTGCGCAATTTTGAGGGCCGATAGACAAAAGGGTCATAATCCGTGGTTTACAGCTGTATAACCACAGGATATCTATCAAAATTTGCATATTGGAGGTCAGTTAGAGGGAGGAGAGAGAGAGAGACAGAGAGAGGGGAGAGAGAGGGAGAGAGAGAAAGAGAGAGGAGAAAAAAGAGTGGGAGAGAGAAGAGGGAGAGATGAGAGTGAGAGATACAGCCAGACCGAGAAGGCAAGAAATAACCAAAAGTTTAACCTACGTGTAGAAATTGAATGCAACACATCGAGTATCGACAAACTGACCGGAAGAGGGACTTTTGAAAGGTAGAAGGTACCCTGAAAGTATCGCTTTTGAAACGTATGTGAGCCAGAAAGCATACAAATTAAAATTTACCTGTTCATACTGTAGGGCAAAAACTTTCGTATCCCCCTGGAACCACCTCAAACG